ACGCTCCTGGAGCTTTGTACCCAGCACCCGGATTCTCCTGGACATTGACGAAGGAGCAGGAGCGTCGGGCAGTCGGCGCAGGGTATATCTGACCAAATCTCCCCGTCTGGTGAGCCGGCCACAGGGGAAAGCCAGGGATCTGGGCCCTTGAGGGTGTTTGTGTGCCCAGATGTCTCATAGGGGAATTCTTGGACGCTGAGACCCGGCAACCAAAGAGGCTGCCTGCTTGAGTTGCTTAACTCAAAAACTTACCCTTCCCTCCTGTCTTCTTCAGCCAACAGGTTTCCAAGAGATGGTAGACATCGGGACCTGGGCGCCTCCAGAGCAGAGCCCAGCGTCCCAGGGAGATCAGATATGACTGTGCTGTTGATTGGGAAGGGGGGGGCATCAAGCGCCCCACCTCTCTGCACACTAGCAGCTGCTGGTCACTGCTACCCGGTACTTGGGACTACAGTAGAAGCTCTTGGGCTGGACACAAGAGACATCTCTGTTTCCTCAGCTTCTCTTTCTGTGGAAACAGAGCTACAGGCGAGAGAGGATTCGGTGGTGGAAGGACCCAGAAACTCATGCTCGTGCCAAGTTTTCTTCCTTGTTTCTATCATATATGTTTCCCTGCGAGCAGAGTTCACCCTGGCCTCCGGCCTCTCTGAAGAGGCCTGCTAGTGATCGGACAGGACCCTATGTGTCACCATCTTACCCACACTCCATCCTCACACAGTGACGGAGCTCGGAAGCCTCTGCTTCTCTCTCTCTTTTTTATTTTGCCTCTGTTTTTCCATCTGTAAGATGGAGCTCCCTTTCCCCTAGCTTTGTCTTTGAGTTACTGGGTGGAAGCAACCTTGTAAATGCAAAGCCCTTCTTTATCCATGTCATGCTCTTAAAAATATAAACAGGAAATTCCTTGAGCCCCAGAGCCACCTGATTTCCCCCCAGAAGGATGTTTTTCAGTTTCCCCTAGTGAGGTTCCAAAGAACAGTTCTTCCTTTTTTTTTCCCTCTTGCTGATTTGGTTTCATGCACCTGCATGCATCACCATGACTAGGTGAGACTGTGAACTTGCTGCAGTCCCAGGGATATAATTTAACAGGAAGGGAGGATGTGGCCACAGTGAATCCAGCTACTTGTTTATTATGCATGGTGCCCTGTAGGGCCCCTCCACAGTATAGAGGTGCCTCACAGCCAGAGGTGCTGAACCATGGCCTTGCCCATAAACAGGAAAGAATTTGCACAGTAAATACAGCCAGCTGGGAAAATTGATGCTGGCGTAAATAATACATGGCAAATCTAGTCTTTTATGCAGAAGTTCATTGCCGGTGGCTCCAAGATGCAATATAATTCCCCTTCTCTTCCTGACAGCTGTACCACAACCTGGTGCCCTAGTGTATGAAATAACCCCCCGTCTGTTAGCGGCACTGTGGCCGTCCATCTGAGAGCCGTAGCCCTGGCTGGGGGGGGAGAGGAGGACACCAGGGGAGGAATAATAAAAAGGCAAAGTAGAGAAATGATCAGAATTATTTACTGTCCACATTTTTTACAGGAAGTTCGCCTTTCTCAGTTAGAGAGCCTGTCGTGATTAATTAGTTGTGTCTTGGCTGCAGGAATAGGGGGCAGAGTTCCGGGACAGAAGCAGGAAGCATGGAGGATCGGCAGTGAGCGGCAGACCGGCTCCAGGGTATCTGCCTGCATGAGGAAAGGGTTGGGGAGCCTAGGACTGGGGGGAGGCTGGCCTGCTGCCTGCAGTAAGGACCCCAGGAGAAACGAATCTTCCATATCCTCATACCATAAGTGGTCGGCTCATTTCTGCAACCATCATAGGAAACGGGACGTTAAGTGAGGGGATGGAAAATCCCTGCCACTCCTACTATTTGGGTATTTTGAGCCCCGGGGGGTCTCACCAATCTCCCAAGCATTCTGTTTTTGTGGAACTTGGGAGTGTTTTTGCAGTTTTTCTTCGCACGGCCCTCCAGGGAGGCACAACCTACTAGTGGGAGTGGGCATTCGAGGTGGAGCCTCGTTGCCCTCTCTGCCCTGGGCAGATCTGCCATGTTCCCTGTATGTTGTGAGTCAGGACCCTGGAATAATGGGGTCTGAGAGGCCTGTAAAGACCATGTGCCCCACACTGTCACTTAACAGGGAAGCTGAGGCCCAAAGAGGAGAAGTGACGGTCCCTGTGGCAAAGCAGCAACTGACACCCAGGACTCCTGATTCCTAAGCCAGACTCTTTGGGTCTCCATCTTGCCTTTAGTTTCCCATCTGCGCAGCTCTCTTCCCACCAGGCACTAACCCCAGCTCAGGGTGCCAGGGCCATCACCACATGGCCTCGCTGCTCCAGACCACCTGTGACATCCTGCAGGACCTTGTCCCTCACAGCTTGCTTCCTCCTCGGACCTTGCTCTCAGACCAGAGCTTTCTCTCGCACTGCCTGCTGCCCCTAAACACGCCACTCGGGGCACACTGCACTGAGCAGTCCCCCTCAAGCCAGGCTGCCTCTTGTGCCCAAGTACCTCTGGCTCCCTTTGCTGATGCATCGGCCTCTGTGTTTGGTGCACACTTACCCTGACAGCCTCCCTTTTTATGCATCAACTATGGTCTAGATAGACATCAGAACCTCTCTCTATCACTCATCTTCCTGTGCACTTGTCGCCCATGAGCTCAAGAGCCTTTTTTTTTTTTTAAGATTTTATTTATTTATTCGAGAGAGAGCATGAGTGGGGGGAGGGGCAGAGGCAGAGGGAGAAGTAGACTCCCCACCAAGCAGGGAGCCCCACGTGGGGCTCAATCCCAAGACCCTGGATCATGACCTGAGCCAAAGGCAGATACTTAACCGACTGAGCCACCCAGGCATCCCGAGCTCAAGATCCATTTCAATTTTTCTTTTCCTCTCTGCATAGTCTGGGAGCTCAGTAATGGTTAACTACATGAGTGGGTGGGCTTTCGTGCCTTTTAAAGGTGGCAAAGGAGGAATGCAGGAATGTTTTTCTTCTGATCTAGTCATTAAGTCCCCAAAGTATCTTTTTATGTATCTTTCTAGAGAGGACTCCTGTATGTCCCAAGTTTGAGATTAGACAAAATTAATATTGGGTCCCTACTGTGGGCTAGCACTTGATGACTTTAAGTCAGGCACCTGAACTCCCAAAGACTCTCAGGCAAGAGGTCCATGTATCATTGAGGCTGCTGTCCACTGCAATTAACAAAACCTGGCTTAAAGAGGCTTCAACAATAAGGACATTATCTCCGATTACATGAAGTCCAAGGTTGGCTTATTCAGTGGCTCAGTGTGAAGTGGTGTAAGGTCCCTTTTCTCTTTCTGCTTTGCTCTCCTTTTGTGTTGGCTTTGTCTTTAAGCTCATGCTCCTTGTTAAGGCCTGGGTGTAGCCATTCTGAGTATCAATCCAGATATGACAATATCTACAGGCAGGAACATGATCCTTGTGTCCTTTTAAGTTAAAACTCAAATTCCAACCAAAGCAGACTTACCTCATATCTTATTAGTGCAGAATTGCTTCCTGAACCCACATCGAAATCATGGCAAGGGAAATTGGTCTATGATTGGCTCAGATCAACCAGAAAATAGTCCTGGAGCTGGGGCTAGGGACAGGCTTTCCTTAAGCACGTGCTATGGCCATCAGAAGGAAATGGGGGTGCTACTAGAAAGGAGGGAGTTGTGTGGAGGAATTGAAGTGTCTGCCATAGTCCAGAAGGCAAGTTTATCAAGGCTTTCATGTGCTTAGGCCATGTATGCATCTCATTTAGATGTTAGGACAGCCTTGTGGCATGGGGAGTCATTCCATTTTACAGACTGTAGGAGTCCAGCAAGGCTGAGGACATAAGGCTAATAAGTGGCAGCACCAGAATCTAAACTCGAATTGTCTCATTCAAAACCCTACTTCTTTCCATCTTCATGCTGCCTTCAGCTGTGAATATGTAACTGTTTTGATAAAATTCTTTTTTATATTCTACCCAGATAGTAGCCAAGGCTACACATCTTGACCTTTTTTTAGCTTAGCTCACCATAAAAAGCTGGATCAGAGATCTACTTTATCAGCTCTTTCCAATTTCCCCCAGGGAATTTATGAGAGAATGACACACACATGGAGAAGGGAGATATCGTTGGTATTAAAGTGAACTGGAGGGGTACCTGGCTGGCTCCGTTGGAAGAGCATGTGTCTTGATCTCGGTGTCATGGGTTGGAGCCCCACATCAGGTGTAGAGATCACTTAAATAAACAAAAAAACAAACTTAGAAAGTGAACTGGAGGTTTAGGGGAAAATAAATCTGAAGAAAAAACAATGGTCACGGGGTGCCTGGGTGGCTCAGTTGTTAAGCGTCTGCCTTCGGCTCACATCATGGTCCCAGGGTCCTGGGATCGAGTCCCACATCAGGCTCCCTGCTCAGTGGAAAGCCTACTTCTCCCTCTCCCACTCCCCCTGCTTGTGTTCCCCTCTCTTGCTGTGTGTCTCTCTCTCAAATAAATAAAATCTTAAAAAAACAACAACAACACATTCTTCAGGGCGCCTGGGTGGCTCAGTTGGTTAAGTATCTGCCTTCGGCTCAGGTCATGATCTCAGAGTCATCAGGCTCCCTGCTGAGCAGGGAGCCTGCTTCTCCCTCTCCCCGCCCCCCCCACTCTTGCTCTCTCTCGCTATCTCTCTCAAATAAATAAAAATCTTAAATAAATAAATAAATAAATAATGACAAATTATGGGAAATGCTACCAAGGAAACCCATAAGGGATTAAGGTTGAGAATGGAAGGAGGACTCTTTGCTGGGGTGCAGAGACCTCTGTGGAGAGCAGAGTGATCTTCAGGCTGGGAGTGAACAGATGAGGAGGGGCCCAAGGAGGAGCTTGTAGCCGTGCCCTCTTTCCCTAGAGATGTTCAGACCATCTCTGGACAGAAGCAGTGCTGGGAAGGAATGTCTTGCTTTTCTTCTTAGTTCCTACTCCCCTCTGTTCCCACCAGTCTGCTGGGTTGATTCTCTTCCTTCCTCTTCTTTCATCAGCTTGGACAAACTGCTTGATGCTGGTCTCTACACTGGAGAAGTGACTGAGATTGTAGGAGGCCCAGGTAGTGGCAAAACCCAGGTACATGGGCGGCTGGCAGCCAGGAGGACGTGACGGGTGGTGGGTGGGGAGGAAGTGGGAAGGTGGGTGCATAGCTCTGGATCCCTGGGGGAGCTTCTGCCAATGTACTTGTGATTCAGGGAGATGGGTGGTGAGAAGTGGGGCTTGAATATGGCCCATTCATGTCACTGGGATCTGGACAGGATTTGGTGGGGGCTCCCATTCTGGGCCCTCTTTGGGAGCTCAAGTTCTCCCAATGCCTTGTCTCCTCAGGTATGTCTTTGTGTGGCTGCAAATGTGGCCTATGACCTACAGCAGAATGTTGTATACATTGATTCCAGCGGAGGACTGACAGCCTCCCGCATCCTCCAGCTCCTTCAGGCCAGAACCCCAGAAGAGGAGGAGCAGGTAAGGGGCAGGAGGCTTGAGTTCCTTTGAGGTTCTGACACAGAAAGACCCCATTATCCCTTATATTGCAAGAATTTTGACCATTTGGATGAACAGTCATTTCTGGCTTTGAAACGTGCTGTTCTATTAATTCTTCCTGTGTTCTTCAGTTCTTCCTGTTATGACATTATCCCAGCTTGGATGCTACCCCCACTGATCTCCCAGGTGACCCAGCTCCTTGTACAGCCTAACTCAGGGCTGGCAGGCACGCAGCATCTGTGTTTCCTTCCCATTACTTGCCATGGCAGACGTTCCTAATCAGACCTGCCATACTTTCCCGCTGAGCCGTGACTTGGCTTTGCAGCTTGGCACCCAGGCAGCCACCACTGTGAGAACTGGCCCAGGAGAAAAAGCCCGTTTGCCATCTTGGACCAGAGTCCTTATGACTAGGGGTCTCTTTCTGCTCAGCTTTAAAATCCCTCTTTATCTTGCTTGAGCCCCTGCTCCCTCTTATTCAAAGCCCCTCCTTCCCCTTCCTAACCCTTTAGGCAGGAGCTCTCCAGAGGATCCAGGTGGTACGTGCGTTTGACATCTTCCAGATGTTGGACGTGCTACAGGACTTCCGGGGTGCTATGTCCCAGCAGGTGAGCCTGTTGTTCTGCCCCTCCCTGCTTCACCCAGCTTGCCGGGGCTGTCTGCATGTGGGCAGGTGTCCTAGCACAGACTGTTTGGAAATGCAGATGTGCCATCTGGTGACTCCAGCTGCGCCTGCCACAGGATGGGATGGGATTCCTGCGTGCTTAATTCCTTCCTGAGTTCCTTATTGTTTACCTGCCCATCTTCCCCACTAAACAGTAAGACCCTTGAGTGCAAGGATCATGTTGTATTCATTTCTGCATTCATCCCCCCTGGATCATCGAGGTTTACTTGCAGCTACAAGTAATAGAGTCTGTGTGACAGGCACTTGAACCTTGAGGGCATTTAATTATCTCTCATGAGTCTGGAGGTTGGCAGGTCCATGGTATCAGGGCTCTAGTTGGTGTGTCTGATTCTCTTGCTCTTCCCCCTCATGATTGCAAAGTGGCTGCCATAGCTCTAAGCATCACATCCTCGCACATCAAAACGCGTATTCAGGGCAGTAATAGATGGCCCCTTTTCTGCATTTCTTCCCTTTAATCAGGAAAGAAAAATCTTTCTCCAAAACCCACTAGTAGACTTCGCCTTACATCTAGTTGGCCAAAATGGAGTTTTATGTGTATCTTAGACTAGGGGTTGGGCCCACCTTCCATGACGTCAGATTTCTGCCCACTACCTGAACACATCCAGAATCCTGTTAACAAGGAAGAGGGGTTTAGAGTGGCATTTGGGTTGGTACCCCATTTTATCTGCTGGGTGCTTAGACAGGATTTGGTGCACTGATTTATAGGCTATTAGATTTAGAAAGACATCTTAGAATAGCTCAACTCTCGTTAAACTTCCTCAGACCCCAAAGTATAACATGTTCCTATGGGCATGCCCAAGATTGTATGTAAAGTAAATGATTTCTACAAACTTTAGAACACTTAATAGTTGAACAGATACTTGCCATAGGAGCTGTAGCTGGTTATGACCCATGTGTGTTGAGACATGAAGTCAAGTAGCCCCGATCTAATCCAGCCCTCTCATTTCTAGAGATGAGGAGAATGAGGACCAGAGAAGTTCAGTAAGTTGCTCAAAGTCACTACATAATTAGGATAAGAACTAAATCTCTGAACTCCCAGGTCAAATGATGTGTTTTTTTACTGGAAGACCATTATGATAGTATATTCTATTATGGCATAACAAGTTACCACAAACGTAATGACTTAAAACAACACGTTTACTATCTCACAGTTTCCGTGGGTCAGGAGTCTGGGCATGGCTTAGCTGGGGCTTCTGTTAGGATCTCAGTAGTCTGTAATCAAATGGCAGCTGGACTGTGTTCTTATCTAGAGGCTCAACTGGGGAAGAATCTGCATACAAGTTCACTCAAGTTGTCACCAGAACTCATTTCCTAGTGGGTTCAGTGTCTTGCTGGCAGTTGTCCATGCTCCCAGGGTTCTCTGCCCTGTGGCCCTTTCCATAGGCAGTTCACAGCACGACCACTTGCTTCATCAAAACAGCACAAGGATGAGAGCAAGGGGCGCCTGGCTGGCCCAGTCGGTTAAGCCTCTGACTTCGGCTCAGATCACGATCTCAGGGTCCTGGGATTAAGCCCCTCATTGGGCTCTGTGCTCGGGGGAGAGTCTGCTTCTCCCTCTCTCTCTCTCCCTCTGCTCCTCCCCTCACTCGTGCTCTCACTCTTTCTCTCTC